ACATCAGGTTTCATCGTTAACCGGAACATAACCATTTGTTGTAAACAAACATATTCTTTTACAACTCAAAAAAGAAGGTTCTTGAACTATACCCCTTTAAAATCATGAAATCCTAAAGTGCAAATAGAGACCATTTGGCCCATTGAGTCTGCACTGACTCACCAAAAGGCATACTACCGAGACCCACCCTTTACCCTATCCCTGTTATCCTGCATTTCCCATGGCTAATCCACCCAGCCTGCACACCTCTGGACACTATGGGCAATTTAGCCTGGCCAATCCAACTAACCTACACACAATTGGACTGTGAGAGGAAACTGAAGCATCTGGGGAAGTGCATGCAGACACTGGGAGAATGTGCAAACTTCACACAGTTGCCTGAGGGTGGAATCGAACCCAGATCCCGAGTGCTGTGATGCAGCAGTGCTTACCACTGTGCTACTGTGAGTATAGGAGCTGGGGTGGCACGTTGAGGTTGTGCAGCACATTGGTAAGGCCTCTCTGGAGTACTGTGTGCAGTTCTGGTCACGCTGTTATCGCAAGGATATTATTAAAATGGAGAGGGTTCAGAAAATATTTATCAGGATATTGCCAAGAATGGAGGGTTTCAGATACAAAAATAGACTGGATAGACTGGAACCATTTTTCAGTGGAGTATAGGCGGTTGAAGTGTGACTTTAATGAGGTTTAAAAAATCAGGAGGGATATAGATAAGGTGAATGACAAAGGTCTTTTCCCTAGGGTGGGGAATTCAAAACCAGGAGGCATATTTTTAAGGTGAGAAGAGAAAAACTTAAAATGGACATGAGGGGCAACTTTTTTTACACAGAGTGATTCATGTGTGGAATGAACTGCCAGAGAAAGTGGTGGATGCAGGCATAGTTATAACATTTAAAAGACATTTGGATAAGTTCATGAATAAAAAAGGTTTGGAGGATAATGGGCCAAGCACAGGCAGGTGAGACTAGTTTAGTTTGGGAACATGGTTGGCGTGGACTGGTTGGACCAGAGGGTCTGTTTCCATGCTGTGTGACTCTAGGCCTCTATGACTATGACACACACATTCATTCATGAATTAGACCAAACAAAGATTTGACAAAAATAAAATGGGTGAAAAAATATAGACAAAGAGAATTGATTTTTGCCAATTAAAGGTCCAGAGAACAAGGTGAAGAGTTATTTGTTACAGTTCTTTTGATTTTGGCAATGATGATACATCGTTGTCTGCAGACCAATGGCCAGTCTTTGATTAGACAGCTAATTGGATGGACCTAGGTCTTTAATTATATTTGAATTTTGTTTTAAGTCTCTGGGTGTTTTTGTCCTTTCCTTTACACAGATAGAGAGGAGAGAGAGACGTCTTCTGTTTGTTGGTGCTAGGTCTGTAACAACCTGCAGCTGGACCAATCCAGCAGCTATTGTTAGGCAGTTTATCTTTAGTTCAAAGACTCCTGGTGCCGCTCCGTCTCAATAACACAAAGGTTTCACAGCTTCAAAAGCAACTTAGTCTCTTACAGTGAACGATGCATACCACTTGAATTTCAGATTGCAAAACTCTCCTGATATTTTAGCCACACAAGTGTCCAACTTCTGTTTTAGGGTTCCGAAAAGAAAATAAACAAGTTGTGCCTTAGAAAATCAAAAACTGTTGAAGACCCTGGATGTTACAAAGGCTAGGGCCCTAATAGCATTTGGACAGTAGTACTGTATATTTATGCCCAATAATTAGCCACAACCTGAGTACAGCCATTCCAATACAGCTACAACACTGGCATCTATGTGACAACGTGGAAAATTGCCTAGTCACGACCTAGGCACAGAAAAAGCAGAACAAATCCAATCCATCCAATTATTACATCATCAGTCTACACAATATTATTGTCAGCGAAATCATGGAAGGAGTCATCAACAGTGCCATCAAGCAGCACTTGCTCAGCAATAACCTGCTCACTGACCAGGGCCACACAGACTCCAAACTCATTTCAACTTTGGTTCAAACATAGACTAAGGAGCTGAACTCTACAGGTGAGCTGAGAGTGACAGCCCTTGATATTAAGACAGTATTTGACTGAGTGGGTATCAACGAGCCCTAGTGAAATAAGTCTCAATGGGAATCAGAGGCAAAACTCACCACTAGCTGGAGTCAGAGAAAAGAGGACAACTGTGATTTTTGGAGGTTAATCATCTCAGATCCTCAATGTAGTGTTCTAGGCCCAATCATCTTCAGCTGTTTCATCAATGATCTTCCCTCCATCATAAGGTCAGAATTCAGACCACACAATGTTCACATTTATTTGCACTTCCCCAGATACTGAAGCAGCCTGTTTCCATATGCTGCAAAACCAGGACAACATTCAGGCATGGCCTGAGAAGTGGTAAATAACATTCCTGCCACACAAGTGCCAGACAATGGCAACTGCAACATGAGTGAATCTGACCATTTCTCTTTAACATTAAATGGTATTACCATAGTGAATGCCCCATTATCAACATTCTGAGGGTTTCTACTCAATAAACACTGAACTAAACTAGTTGTGTCAATACTGTGACTACAAGTGCAGCTCATGGGACAGGAGTTCTGCAATTCACTTTCCAGTGCCTGCCTATCACACAAAAGCACTAGTCAAGACTGTTAAGTGGGCAGTAAATGTTCATCTAACCAGCACCGTCCACGTCTCATGAATGAATTAAAAACTGCTCATTAACACCTCCACCTCCAGGCTGAGCTTCTCTAGAAATTTCTGAAGGAGGGTCTAGGCCCGAAACAACAGCTTTCCTGCTCCTCTGATGCTGCTTGGCCTGCTGTGTTCATCCAGCTCTACACCTTGTTATCTCAGATTCTCCAGCATCTGCAGTTCCTACCATCTCTGTTGGAAAAGCTCAGCAGGTCTGGCAGCATCTGTCATAGAACTCCTGAGGGTTCTGAGGAAGGGCCACCGGACCCGAAACATTAACTGTTTTTTCCTTCACAGATGCTGCCAGATCTGCTGAGCTTTTCCAGCAACTTTGTTTTTATTCCTGATTTACAGCATCCGCAGTTCTTTCCGTTTTCTTTTAAAGCCTCACTCCTCCCAACATCTACCACTCTACACAATAGCCCAGATCCTCTGTTTTTCTGATGCTAGTATCCATTGTATTCTCTGTCCTCTATCTTTATTGCACAGCCTTCAGGTGGCTACATCCCGCCCTTTGGAATATTCATTCTAAGCTGTTTCAAATTTGCATCCATTCTTTATTCTCTCCTTTGCCATTGCCATGACAGTCTGACCTACATCAGTGATTGAGGTCTATTATAGCCTTTATGTAATTTTAATACATAAGAAATCCTCAACTCCACTGGATATTTCACGAAGCAATTTTCAATATTAGTTCAAGGCTTCCACTATATGGGAACCTGCTTGTTTATATTGTGGGATGGAATTCATCATAATAGAAAAACACAGAAACAACTGCGCACTGAAAATATTCAATTGGCATGGTTTTCTAAGTTGCATTTCTCAATTTTGCTTCTGGCTACTCTAATAGCTAGAGAACGAATATGCAGATTAGTGACCAAAAAAAACAGGCTTATGTAGACAAACTGCCAATGACCAGAGAAATCATTTAAATTGCCACAATGGATAAGTTTGCTTCCAGAAAAACTACGAATATCCTTCTCTTCAGGTGGTCTCTGAATCCCCAAACCAGAAACATAGTTTAATTTATATTGCTGTACAATCACTGCTATCAGTGTTGCTATGAAAGGTAATGTGATCGAGAACCTGATTTATCAATTGCTAGAATGAAACAGACTAAGAAGAGAAAATTCGAACAACTATTATGGATCTTCGAAGTATCTGGAGCTGGGTTACAAAAGACAGACTTAAAGCTGAACTTGTTTTCACAGAGGAAAAGATTATTTAGAGGAAATTGAATCCAGATGTCTAAAATAGGAAGCACAGTGCAGCCATAAGTGGGTAATTGAACTGTGAATGAGCAACTAAAGGACAAGAGCACAAAATTAACAAGGCTCAAGATTAGTGGAAATTTTGATCCAACAGGATAATGGATACTCCAGCAACAGCAATTCACACTGGGGTATGATAGTTACTGCTTTAAAAATAAAGTTAAGAAACATTTATATCTTTAAATCATCTATGCAATATTATATTTCAAATGCTGCTGGTACTATGGGTGCATTATTATGTGAGCATACATTTGGTTGGATGAAACTATACAAATTTGATTGAAAAAAAATTAGGTTGAAATAAAATTCTAGGTACTGCTTGATAAGGAAAGACCAACAAACTTGATTCTACCATCACCTATGTGTAATTTTCTGAGTGCTGGATTCTACATAAAGCACTTAAATTGCAGAAGTTGAGCACCGTGATAAAACTCAAAAATTGCTTCTTTTAGTACCAGTGTTAAATAACGCATTTAGAATTCTGCTATACTAAGTCCTCAGATGGTGGAGTAGTGGTAGAGGGACATATAATTGGATGGATTTACGAAGTTGTTTCAAAAGACATAGGTCCATGGAAGTTAACATAGACCATACCATTATGAGGACGGGGTACAGTTTTGGAAAATTTGTAAGGATTAAAGATCCCTGAGCAGTTGTGTACAAATGAAATAGGACCAGAAGTAGGCCCTTTGATCAAGAATCTATCTACAGCTGCCTTAAAATATTCCACCGATCTCTGAGGAAGACAGATTCAAAGAGGCAGATCCTTCAGTGAGGGGAAAAAACCTTACTCCTTACTTAAATGGGCAACCTCTAACATTTAACCTTGAAAGCAGCTCTTTGATAAAGGTCCACAAGACAATGTTACCATTAGTAAGATATGAACATTTATCATCGGATTAAACATATTTTGCACACAACATTTACAACTGAGTAAAAGCAGTGTCTTTCAAGTGCTGGGTCTTATACCCGTTTAGGTACTGTGTAAAGCCTGGAGCAGTAAAAAGTGGGGAAAGTGGATACTCCATGCTCTCAAATTTGTTGGAAGACTAACCTGAGGGAACCACTGATCACAGTTGGGTAGCTGGAAAAATTATTGCCATGACGACAGGCTATTTTGCTCCCTCTCCTACGCCTCTTCATTGGCTCCTTTTCTTTTTCAGTTTTAGCATCCTGATTCTCCAAGAGAGTGTTCGATTTTCTAAGAAAGATGACAACATGACTATTAATGAATATTTCCATTGTTTGCATTAGAGAAGTGCCAATTCTAACCGGTAACATTTCAGTGAGTAGTAAATATAAACTGATTATCTATATTTTCTATGAATATAACCATAAAATAATTTCAGATTTGTAAGAAAACATATTTGGAAATGTAGTTATTAGAAATTAAACATCTAAAACTGCAATGACATCCTTGAAACCAACAGAGGAAATGCTATAAACACTCCAGTCAGTCAGCATCTACAGGCACATTAACATTTTATGTGCAAACCATTTGCAAGAACAGTAGTTAAAGTGAAACAGAACAATGAAGAGAAGGCAGGGAAAATGTACACCTTGAAGTAGCTCTTGGAATAGGTGTAAAACAAAGCAGTCAGCTAATCTGCATTTAGTCACTGCAATACAGAGGAGACGGTACATCAGTTTGGAAATGACAGAAAAGGAAAACATGAATTTATATTGTGTATTTCATAACTTAAAAAAGTAAATACAGCCAAAAAAGTACTTATGAAGAATGCCACTATTTTTAATATAGGAAGCTCATGAGCGTGCAGCAAACTTCCACAAACAGCAAAGTGACAATGTTTAAATTGCTGGTTATGGAATAAACATTGGACTATTCGCACTATGGATAATATTATACTATGGATAATTCTTTTGCTCAGGAGAGCAGACAGGGCTTTGGATTAACATTGCATCTGAAAGGTAGCACCAATAGTGCAGCATTGGTAGAATCATAGAGGTCCACAGCATAGAAATGACCCTTCAACCCATCAAGCCTGTGCTAGTAAAAAAAACCCCCATGTAACTAATCTAACCCCATTTCCCAGCAATTGATCCATAGCCTTGTATATCTTGGCATCTTAAATGCACATCTAAACATTTTTCAAATATTATGAAGGTTTCTGTCTCTACCACCCTTACAGGCAATGAGTTCCAGAAAAGAACTTTTCCTCACTTACCGCATCTAAACCGCCTGCCCTTATGCTAAATCTATGCCCCCGATCATTGATTCCTCCATCAAAGGGAAAAGTTCCTGTCTGTCTACCCTATCTTTGCCATCATAATTTCATGAAACTTAATCAGGTCCCCTCTTAATCGCCTCTGCTCCAAGGAAAACAACCCCAGTCTGTCCAATCTCTCTTCATAACTGAAGCTCTCTAGATTTACATCCTGGTAAATCTCCTCTGCACCCTCTCCACTGCACTCATACTGTTCCAGAACTGCATTCAATACTCTCGTTGTACTACACTAGATGATCAACCTAAATACATGTAAGTTGGTATTTCACCCAAAAATAAGGTTGAGGCTTTGGACACTGGTGTGGGAGGAAGTTTGCTGATGATACAAAGCTAGCTGGGAATAGAAACTATGATGAGGACACAAAGAGGCTACAAAGAGATATAGCACTGTGCAAATGGAAAACAAAGTGGCACACAGACTATAATGTAGGGAAGTGTGAGGTTATTTACTTTGGTCATTAGAATAGAAAAGTACAAAATTTTTTAAAAAGCAATGTGTTTATGTTCACAGGGACTTGAGCCTACTCAAAGAACACAGAAAGGCTGCTTGCAACTAGAGTGAACAATTAGGAAAGCAAATGCACTTTGTCTTTCATTGCAAAGAGACTTGAGTACAGGAATTATAAGATTAAGAATAAGGGGAACACATTTTGAGAATGAATTCATGTTGGAGATGGTAAAAATGGCAGACGGCAAAAAATATGGCAAATGTGGGAGCTGTTTGATTTGAGATTATGGATAAAAAGTGAGAAATACATCCATCAAACTGAAGAGCAATTCACTAGGAAGTGATGAAAAATATTTCAGAAGCTCTGGTATTACAGGTGGCATCAGCAGAGTAAGCAAAGGCAAACTCAGATAAAGGAATGGAGCTCTTACAGGAAGAAATAGTACAAAGGGACAGGGGAAGGAAATTCAGAGTTGCAGTTGTTAGTGGATTTGTAAAGATGGACATATAGTTAAGAGGCAAAAACTGGAACATGTGGTAGTAAGTGGAGAAATTGAGAGTAGCAAAAGGAAGGCAAAGGAGGAAATACATGAGGAGTAAGAAACAGAATAAGTACAAAATTTGAGAACAACTAAAATGTTAGGCATTATTGAAAACTGGATATTTGGGAGTCATGATCACCTAAGTTGCAGAAGCTTGCCCTGAAAGAAGAAAATGTCAATGGAAAATCTGTCTGTAGGGATGAAGAGAGAGAAGTGCAAGAAGGAAAGAGAAAGATCAGAAATGGATCGTTGATAGGGATGGAAAATGTAATGAGATTCTCTAAGTCAGCACGAAAGCAGGAAGCAGAACTGACACAGTCATTCAAACCTTAGGAAAACAGATCAGGAAGGAAATACAAGTATCATTAGAATAAGCAGCATTGAGCATTTCCTATGTCATGACATTCACAGTTCAGCAGCAAATGGACTTCACAGTGGCACTTGTAACTGGAGTAGGTGAGTGCAGTTAAAGGGAATATTGTTCAAGATGAGAACACATTCAACCTGGCACTGGAGAGCATGGTGAATGGAAGATGATTGGGAAGCTGATCAAAAAAGAAATTGAGGACCCACAGGCAGGCCTGCGGAAGGACAGAAATGTAGAGGCATTGTGGGCTAGTGAAGATCAGTGCAATGTGCTCTGAAAATAGCACATCAGACAGTGTGCCAATCTTTCAATGTCCCCAGGACACAGCTGAATTTTTAAAGGAGAGCAGGGATGAGAGGATTTGCTAATCACATGCTTCGAGTTAACTGTTAAACTCATAGAAGAATTTATTATCAGGCTGGAGAGAAACAGAATTAAAATGTCAATGCAAACAGAAAGTGTGACCCATTGTAGGGCACACTTGATGCAAAACCATGAGGAGCACAGTGGGGAGTCATTACTGATTATGGTTATTGGTAAAAACTCTTATCCAAAAAGGATAGTCAAATGAGGGTGGCCATGCTTTGGCACAAAGGTGCCATCATTTGAACACAGTGGCAAGCCCATTAATTGGATGCCAAACTCAGTTCCTGGCCATTACGATCTATGCTTTTAAAACCTGTGTTGAATCAGATGTGGGATTGGAGCCAAAAAGCCTGAACTGAGAAACTTGCCCAACATGTCCATCATAAGCAATGCACAGCACATGATTCTCTTTGCGATTGTAACTGAATGGATCTGACCTATTCTGCACCTGACCAAGCCGTTCCAAAACATCTACCGATATAATTTTCCGACTCAGTGAAAACATCTTTGCACATAGAGAACCATGTCCAATACAAATAGCTGGTGCTCAGGGTTAACCCAGTTATATTCAGAAACAAGACAAATGACTGAAAATACAAAAAATCTAAATTGTACAGACTGAAATATCATTAAGTAGGAATTAAAGCTTCTAGTCTTAGCCTAAGCTCTCAGAATCCACGTAAAAATAGTTGTACGAGATATGAAGCACCATGAGGCACAACTGTGAATGATGGTTTCCCATGCTGCCTCATCTTCAGGGTATCAAAAGAAACTCAGTTCCCTATTTTTTAGAGATCTATTATAAACCAATGATTTTGTGCCTAATCCAGTATTGCAGAAATTGCATTACAAATAAAGAACAATGTCATTTTTTGTTTTACCTTCGCTTTCTGCAGTCAACTAGAACAAAGGCACCTGCAGCTCCATACCCGAAAAAGCCCAGCAATGGCCACAGAAGGGAATTCACTGCCATTCCCCATGTCAGCTGGAAAATCCAAATTGTCAATAACGTATAATACCAAAAAAAGGAACATTAAGAAAACAGCTATATGCAATAATTTAATGTTCAAGACATAACTATTATTACTTCTACTTTATATACTTCATGTGTTGCTGGGTGTTATTTACATACATTAATCTACACAAACTTATGTGAATATGCAGCACTTGTTTCTGAAAACTAATCTTGACATTGCACAATTAGAAATAAATCTAAACTTTTACCAAAGCAAACACATTTTTCAACTCGTGGTTAAACTCATATAACTAGTATCTAAAATACTTGATGGTCATTATAGTTTATTTTTGAAAGCCGGTAAATTGCTTTGCTGAGGCGGTTGCCAACATTAATTTCCTTTCATTCTTACATCATTTCCTTTCTTGTTTTCCCACTATTGTTCTACTGTTTCCTTGGCCAAAGTCTCTGCTTGCATAGCAACAAAAATATGTGTCCCTTTGACTTCTCAAACTAAAGAATAGTTGCATTTCCCTAACATCTGTGATAGGGTGAAAGATTAATCTCTTAAATGCCATATGATTCACCACACCACTGAAAATAAGTTGAGAATTTTTCTGAGCTTGGTTTTGGGGAAGAAAACACTGATTTTGTGTTTATGCATATCTGTGTCCTGGGGTTTTCAGGCCAGCCTACCTGTTTTTCCCTGATCACTTCATGAGGCTTGAATGGATTGTAGAAACATGGGAAGGTGGTATTAATCTAAAACGGAACAAAACAGACAACACCAATTGAAAGATATATGAGATTACAGTATATCAAACACACGATTAAATCCTTAATTTCAGATTCAAAATAGACTCTAGGACATTACAAATGCGGCAGATAAACCATCCTAAAGATTGCATGTTTGTAGTTATATTAACAGGAAAATAGGAAAAGAGTCAATTTCAAAAATGAAAAAAAAACAAGCTCACAAACAGGAGCAGTTTTGGCTGAAATGAAAGTCATCTTCGATTTAAATTTGTAATTCCATTAAACTTGCATTGCTAACACCCCATTGACAATTTTCCTTCTCCAGTTGGGAAAATAAGTGTATCAGAGGCTTCATTAGTGCTATTATGTGACTCTTTGTGAAACTAGCTCTGGTACGCCTTTTCTCCTTAAGAACAGCAGTCATTCATCACTTAACACCCTAGTGCAGAATCAGCAAGACCTGACAGAAAGACTGAGTTAACAAATCGTCATCCAAGTTTATAGGCCAGTAAAACAGGGCTATTCGACTATACTGGGATTCTCCATTGTTTATTGAAATGAAGACGATTTTCCAATGGATAATAAAAATGGTGTAAGATCGAGAATCTGCAAGTTATGGCCCCACAGGGCAGTACTGCAAAACTCCAACTTCAAAAATGGAAACAATTAATAAAGTCACCATAGTCCTGCCCTCTCCTTAGAGAGAGATGACTGGTGGTGCTTTAACCTGAGGTTCACCATGCTTCAAGTGAGGAAAGGAAAGAGAAACCTTCATGGTAACCTCAGCTTATGTAGGAATTGAACCCATATTGTCAGTGTTAACTCTGTACTACAAACCAACCCTCCAGCCAGCTGTGCTAATCACCCCACTAAACAGTCATTAACACAAATGAGCAAAATGTAGAGATGCTAAAAAGTCAATGGTACACAAATTCCAATCAGGAAGAAATGAGTGGATTCAAGCATACAATAATTTACTTTTAACCAGAATTTGCTTAACAGACTTTACCTGCCCAAAATCTTGAAGATAATTCACTACACAAGCAGATCTACTGTAGTCTTCTCGCCAGCCTTGACAGTGCACTAAACGATCAGCAAAAACCCCATGACGACCAAAAGTAAAAGAGCACTAAAGAAATTAGATAATCTAATAAGAATTGGTTATGGTTTACCTAACGCTGTAAATACCATTATCTATATCACCAATGATTTATATAAGATTGTACCTTTTATTCCAAATGTTAAGTTTTATAAGATCTAATAACATTTGATCTTCTACTCAGTCTGCCCAATGAGAAGCCTATGTGATCTAAGTGTCATGGCGAGCAGCTGCCCAGGGGCATGTCCTATTGAAACCAAAGTGCCAGCTTGGCCAAAGAGAGAAAATATCCCAGTGGGAAGGACAAGGAAACAACTGCTTATGTGAATAGCAGGGAGAAAGCTGTTCTCTGTTCATCACCAGAGAGAATGCTGGTGGGAGTTTAGTCTCTGGTCAAACAGTCCAGACCTGTGGAATTTTTAAGGCACTGGATAATTCTCTCTGACATATCCAGGAGAAGGAGTGAGCCTTGCTGTGGGAAGTTGATTTAGAGATTCTCAGAGGATCAAGGAAGCACTTGGACACTCAACATCATGACTCAGCAAAACAGGGACAAGAAAGTCTCTTGGAAGTTAGGAGTAACTTTGGACTGGTTCCTGTAAAGAGTATAATTCTTCAGAAAGTGTGGCGCAATGCATAAACACTGCATGCGTTTTTCAGTCGCGTTAGGAAATTACAGAGGGATATCTTTTCTGTAGTTTACTATGTTAGTTGATGTTGATTTTAGTTTTTGTGAAAGTTAAGGTCATATAAAGTGAAATCTTGTGTGATCCATCGAGTTGGTCACTGGGAACTCAACTTTTTTCTAAAACATTTTTAGTTTCTACATAATTCATAGCATTGTAAATTTTAAGTATTTGACATTGTTCCAATTAGAGTTCCATTCAAAAATCATTTCTGAAAGAAAGATCATTGGTACTTGGGGATTAATTGAACACTCTTCACATGAGAGTGCAGAAGACCATGCCAAGCATGCCTGAAGATAAGGTGTCAACCTGATTAAGCTCCAAATGGGACTTATTGCACGCCAAACAGCATTAAGCAACAAGTGATAGAAGAGCTATGCAATCCCACATCCAATGGATCACATCTAAGCTCTGCAATCCTGCCACATCCAGTCCTGATGGTGATGGACAATTAAACAAATCACTGGAGGAGGAAGCTGCACAAATATCACCATCCTCAACAGCGGAAGAGTCTAACACATCAGTGCAAAAGATAAGGCTGAAGCATTTGCAGCAATCTTCAGCCAGAAGTGCTGAGTGAATGATCCATCGCAGCCTCATTCAGTGGTTTCCAGCATCATAGATGCCAGTTTTCAGCAACTTTGATCCACGGGATATCAAAAAATGGTTGGAGACACCACATACTGCAAAGGTTATGGGGCCTGACAACATTCCAGCAATAGTACTGAAGACTTGTGCTTCAGAACTTGCCACTCCCCTAGCCAAGCTGTTCCAGTACAGTTACAATACTGGTATCTATTGACAATATGGAAACGTATGTCCTGTACACAAAAAGCAGGACAAATCCAAACCAGCCAATTACCGCCCAATCAGTCTACTCTCGATCATCAGTAAAGTGATGGAAGGTGTCATCAACAGTGCTATCAAGCAGCACCTGCTCAGAAATACCCTGCTCAGTGATGCCCAGTAGGGGTTCCAGCAGGGCCATTCAGCTCTGGACCTTATTACAACCTTGGTTCAAACATGGCCAAAAAAGCTGAATTCCAGAGGTGAGGTGAGAGTGACTGCCCTTGACATCAAGGCCTCATTCGACCAAGTGTGGCATTAAGGAGCCCTAGCAAAACTGGAATTGATGGGTATCAAACTCTGAGCTGGTTGGAGTCATACCTGGCACATAGGAAAATGGGTGTGGTTATTGGAGGTTAGTCATCTCAGCTCCAGAACATCTCTGCAGGGGTTCCTCAGGGTACTGTCTGAGGCCCAAACATCAATGACCTCTTTCCATCAGAAGATCAGAAATCGGAATGTTCGCCCATGATTGCACAATGCTCAGCACAATTCGTGACTCCTCAAATACTGAAGGAGTCCATGTTCAAACATAACAAGATCTGAACAATATCCAGGCTTAGGCTGACAAGTGGCAAATAACATTCATGCCACACAAATGCCAGTACTAACCATCACCAATAAGAGACAATCTAACCACCGCCCCTTGACTTTCATAGTGTTTCTATCACTGAAATCCCCCCTTATCTACATCCTGGAGGTGACTATTGACAAGAAACTCACTGCACTCACCATTTATATATATCGGCTACAAGAGCCAGGTCAGAGGTTAGAAATACTGTGGCGAGTAACTCATCTACAGATTCCCAAAGCCTATCCACCATCTACAAGGTATAAGTTAGGAGTGTGATGAAATACTCCCCACTTGCCTGGAGGAGTGCAGCCCCAATAACACTCAAGAAACTTGACACCCATATCCCACAAGAGAATAAAAAAATATCATTCCTATGTCTTACTGGTTTTTTACTGATTTCTCCCTTAGGTTCCCAAATCCTACCCCTACATAGAGATCCATTCCTTACTGTTTGGCCTCACTATCTGGTACCAGGTACCTTTGTTCTATTTGAAACATTGAACATCCACCTCACTCCTTATTTTTCCAGCTCTTACATGTAACCTCTTAAAATAAAACAATAGGCCCATTTTCCAAATTGTGCTGCCAACACTTAAAAAGGAATGTAAAACTCTGTCCTTGTTGAGTTCTCTTCCCAGTATTGTGTTCCTAATAATGTTAAAAAACTTATTTCCTATTCCAAGCTATTTAAAAATAAAACTGCATTAGTGCTCTTCACTGTTGGGGTGATACAGGCATGCAATGCTACCAGTGTAAAAGTGTGCATCCTCTGATCACATCCACTGTGACCAATGTCAACTCTACCAATCACAAATCATCAATCTTCCTTCTCTGTCCATATCAAACCCACTTCCTGTGTAACAATTTTAAACCCTGCTTTTTATGTTAACGTTCATACTAAATCATGACAGCATTCTTTTACAGAAAGTTCCTGTTTCCTTTCTACTTTCTGATTTGTTTTGCTCAATTAGTTGTTTGACCGAGTTCTGAAGATTGCTTCTCACCTGCTGACAGTTTACCAAAGCTTGTTCATTCTCCATTATAATGGCACTCCTCTTGGAACCGTCAGGTAGATGAAAAATAACCTGGTGACATGAAGAAGCTTCAGTTTAGACTAGGAAAGGGAATCTTGCAGAGTTAACTTGTCTGTTCCTATGTACTTCAAGAATTTGCCATATTTTCATTGGGGCTGCATCTGGACCTACTTTGAAAGGTAAGTTACAATTAACTAATTTAACCACTAACACGCCTCTCTCTCTAAAATACGCATCCTAAGCACCATGTCATAATTGTTTCCACATTGCAGTTTTTATTGGAGCCTCGAATCTTGTATGTGCTTTTTCTGAGTGAACACCAATGTGCAGTTGCCCCACAGTTCCAGTGTCAGCAAACACAGCCTCTTTGCACTGTGTGGAACTCCAGGGTTCAGTGAAGCAGCAACTCTGCAAACAGAGACCAATATATTGGCGTGAGCAGAACCACTCAGTGGCTGTGTGCCCTTTTGATTTTAAACTGCATATACTTTCACTTAATTAGCTCAAACTATGTTATCCATTGGAGAATCCTTTTTACTCCAGCAATGTGGCAGATTGTCCAGGTATATCCTGTTCACAAAGAAAAAACACACAAGAACCTTGATCCATCATCTGGATACACCTTGGCAATCCATTCTGATGGTGGCATAGGTCTCCAGCGGAGGGCACCCCCTTAGCACTGGGGATCTGGGATAATGGGGTGTTGCACACAGCCGACCCATAGGTTAGGTTGGTTCACAGACTCACAGTAATTTGTTATGACCTGCGTTTATATTAACTGCTATGGACTCCAGCCTCTCTTTTGCATTTTAAAGAGGTTTTTGTTAAAGTACAGCTGCTCTTTGGCCCCACAATCCTGCTCTCTGGACACTGTTGATGAAACTTTTCATCACTTTACTGAAGTTCGAGAGTAGGTTGGCAAGGTGGTGATTGGCCGGGTTGGATTTGTCCTGCTTTTTGTGGACAGGACATACCTGGGCAATTTTCCACATTGTCAGAGAAATGCCAGCATTGTCGCTGGACTGGACAATCCTGTTTGAGCCCTGGTTAATTCTGCAGCCAGAGGCTTCAGTACTGGTTCTGAGAATGCTGTCAGGACCCATAGCCTTTGCAGCGTCCAGTGTCTCCAGCTATTTCTTGATTCTGTAAGGAACACCCTTTCTCCCTTTTTGGACGAAAACCAAAATGGAAGTCAAACCCTGCTAAAAGAGAGAGGAAAGTTTTGTAACTTGAAAATAAAATAGATTCATAAACTCAGACATGTTAACTGCACAGACATGTTAACTGCACTCAGCCTACATATCAGTGCCACTCAACAAATCTCTGACTACATTTATCCCATTTTCCAGCCTTTAGCCCTGGAGGCCATGGCAACACAACTAAATAGCTAAATACCGTGTAAATGTTTTGAGAGTTTCTGACTCAATCTCCCTGTCAGGTAGTGAGTTCCAGACTCCCACCATCATCTCAGTGAAACAAAATTCTCCTCAGCTCTCCTCTTACCCTTCTATCTCTTATTTGAATTCGATGCTTTCTGGTTGTTGAGCCATCTAATAATGGAAAAAGTGCCTTCCTACCCATCATATCTCAGCCTCGCATAATCTTATACACCTCTATCCAATCCTCTCTCAACCTTCACTGCTTCAGTGAAAACAACCCAACTATCCAAACTTTTCTCATATCTCAGACCCTCCAGCCCAGGAAGCATCCTGATCAATCTCCTCTGCACCCTCTCTACTGTAATCACATCTTTCCCATAATTTGGTGACCAGAAATGCACACTGTACTCCAGTTGTGGCCTAACCAATGTTTTATACAGTTCCAGCATAACATTCCTGCTCTTGTATTCTACACTTCAGCTAACAAAGGCAAGTACTCATATGTCTTAGAGTTATCCCTAAACCTAACCCTAACCCCTTCAGAATATCCTGCAGCTGTTCTTTATTTTTCTTTACTCATTCATGGGATGAGGGCGTCGCTGGCTAGGCAGCATTTATTGCCCATCCCTAATTGCCCTGAGGACAGTTAAGAGTCAACCACATTGTCGTGGATCTGGAGTCACATAGGCCAGACCAGGTAAGGATGACAGTTTCCTTCCCTAAAGGACATTAGTGAACCAGATGGGTCTTTCCAACAATTGGCAATGGATTCACTGTCATCATTAGATCCTTAATTCCAGATATTTATTGAATTCAAATTCCACCATCTGCCATAGCAGGATTCAAACTCAGGTCCTCAGGACATTATCTGGGTCTCTGGATTAACAGTGCAGCGATAATACCACTAGGCCATCTCCTTCCCATGTTCTATGATATCCTTGAACCAAATACCCAGAAGGCAACATACCATTCTGGAATCACATCTACAGATGCAGCAGTATCTGTCCACTCCTCTCACTCATGAATTCCCTACCTCAATCGCCTTTCCACACTTCTCGCACTATGAGCTGAACCATTCACAGTGTCATGGTCTTGTCTGACCTTTGGAGAGGAACCATCATTCTCACCGTTTTCCCAAGGCCAAAACCGCTTCGTGAGCAAAATGCAATTAAGGAATTCCCTCAATACCTGCCTGGTCCCCTTCTTCTGTCCAGCAGGCACCCATTCACAGGATCATACAGTACCAAAGAGTCCTTTGGGCCCATCGAGTTTGTACTGCCACTTTCTCTGCTTGCACTTTCTTAAGCTGCAGGTGACCACATCCTTGTAAATATTTTAAGCTATACTTACGATCTTAGCTTAAATTAATCTCAAGTCCAGAAGAGACGAACGAAATATCCACCAAATACATACCAGCTGTCCTGTGACATGACACTTTGATCTTGAAGTGTCTGTACAATGTTGCTTTTGGAGCAGTTAGATTGTAACATTACTGAGATAGAGCGGCACCGGGAGTCTTTGAGTTAAGGAGGATCTGCCTGACAACAGCTGCTGGACTGATCCAGCTGCAGGTTGTTACAGACCTCTGAGGGCAGTGCAACCAGGATCACCTAGAGCCGATAAACAGAAGACATCTCTCACCTCTCTCTCACTGTGTAAGAGAAAGGACAAAAACCCCCAGAGACTTAAAAGAAAGAATTCTAATATAAGTGAAGGCCTAGGTGCATCTGATTAGCAATATAACAAAGACCGATCAATGCTCTGCAGACAACATAGTATCATCATTTTCAAAATCCAAAGAACCGAGACAGATAACTCTTCATCTTGTGATCTGGACTTTTAACTGACAGAAAATGTTTCTCCCTGTCTATATTTTTGATAATACTTGTGTCAAACAATCTATCTTTTGTCGGTCTTATTTGTGAATGAATTGTGTTTGAGGAATTAAAGGGGATAGGTTAAGTCACATAGTAGATGAATGATCCTTTTTTTCTCTGCCATTTGTTAAAGAATAAGTTTGTTTGCAATAAATAGTTGTTTTCCTATTAATAGTGACAAGTGGTGTAAATTACACCTCAGTGGTTAATTCAGTATTTATGGTTTTCTAATGGCTAAAAGAATGGCGGCATTTGCTTATCAGCCAACTCCTCCCACTTATGTTGTAACAAAGGCTTGGGGACTAGTCTGGGATCTTTAAATGGTGTCAATGAAAGATTGGAAATAGACTAAGGATAATTGATAAAGGATAAAAGAACAAGATACCAGGTTTCTCATACTGAAATAAGATGGCATTGGAAGCAGTTAAAACCATCCTGTTGTTGAAAGAGGTAACTCTGATGGTTTTACAGTGATTAACAAGAGCCAAGCTGATAGAATTGGCAAATAAATTAGAGGTCGAACGGTCTGTCAGAGCCTAGAAGGCAAAGGCAATTAAAGTATTGGCAAAGCACCTAGGACTGATGGACAAACAGGAGACTAGGTGCACTGAGTGGTAAGTTACTTGAGCTAGCATGAATTCATTAGTTAACGCAGTGTGAAATGAAGAGGGAACTGGAAGATTTATCAAGATGTTGCCAGGAATGGAGGGGTTGAGTTACAAGGAGAGGCTGGATTGGCTAAGGACTTTTTCACTGGAGGATAGGAGGTTGAAGGGTGACTTTATAGATGTTTATAAAATAATGAGGGGCATAGATAAGGTGAATAGCAAAGGTCTTTTCCCTAGGGTAGGGGAATTAAAAACTAAAGGGTATATTTTTAAGGTGAGAGGAGAAGGATTTAAAAGGGACCTGAGGGTCAACCTTTTCTCACAGAGGGTGGTTCTTATGTGGAATGAATTGCCAGACAAAGTGGTAGATGCAGGTACAGTTACAATATTTAAAAGATATTTGGACAGGTACATGAATAGGAAAGGTTTGGAAGGATATTGGCCAAATGCTGGCCCGTGGGACTAGTTTATTTCGAGAAACTTGGTCGGCATGGACGAATGAGACCGAAGGGTCTGTTTCCATGCTGTATGACTCTATGACTCAATAACTTAAAAGACTTCATCTTGAGGAAGAAGAGAAATAGAAAGAATGAAGCAAAGGCAAAGGCATGAGAAAGGTAATTAAAGAGCATGAGACTAGAAATTCCACAGAGAGAAGGATAAAGAAAAGGGAAAGAGATTGGGAAAGCAAGTTAAAATTAACAAGGCACTGATGAGCAAAATCGTAGTCATAACCTAAAGTCCATACCTGGTTAAAGCTGTGATTGAATATGCTCTTAACGGATGGTAATGTACATTTTCTCAATTAATTTGCACTTTAATTACTATTAAAGAGCAGGATAATTATTTTAATACCTGCATTCAAAGAATGGATCTTCATAAAGGTGAAATAAGTTCAAATCATATTAAATTAGAACTTGTCAATCTTACCTTGATCTGAACACAAGGAGAAAATGTGTCTCTCCCAGAGCCACAACTGCCCTGAGGTTCCTGTTGGGTCCCAAGCACAGTGCAGGTGCTGCCAGTGAAATTTAAGACTGTTGATGGGAAAAGTGAAATGGGAAAGAAATTTTAATTTAAACTATAAACTTGATGATAGATTTTTATATCACAAGATTATCTTTGGGCAGCTTGCTCTCATATTCCAATACTGACAAATGAAACCTTGCTTCTTACTAAATCCCCTGTCTGTCATGGTAGGATTGCAACTCACTAAATGTCACCTTTTTTATCTTCCTGCAACACTTCAGGACCTTCACATTTTTTGAACAAGCTTGTTTCTTTCACTTCTCTTGCTTCTCCTTTAAAATTCACTTGATTGCCTCTCATGGTCACATTTAAGCATTTCATAGACACTCTCTAATAAACGTAAAATACTGCTGATTCTGGAAATCAGAAATAAAAACAAAATGTGCTGGAAAAGTTCAGTTGGTCTGGGAGCATCTGTAGAGGGAGAAACTGAGTTACATTTTAAGTTCAATATGACTTCTTCAAAATGGAAGGTTCTGAGGAAGAGTCAAAGAATCATAGAGTCATAGAGTTGTACAGGATGGAAACAGATCCTTCGGTCCAACTCATCTGTGCTGACCAGATATCCTAAATTAATCTAGTCCCATTTGACAGCATTTGGCCTATATCCCTCTAAACCCTTCCTATTCATATACCCATCCAGATGCCTTGTAAATGTTGTAATTGTACCAGCCTCCACCACTTCCTCCGGCAGCTCATTCCATACATACAACACTCTCTGCGTGAAAATGTTGCCCCTTAGATCCCTTTTAAATCTTTCCCCTCTCACCTTAAACCTATGCCCTCTAGTTCAGGACCTGCCCACCCCGGGGAAAAGTCTTAGTCTGTTCACACAATCCATGCCCTTCATGATGTTTATGAACCTCAATAAGGTCACCCTTCAGCCTCCAATGCTCCATGAAAAATAGCCCCAGCCTATTCAGCCTATCCCGATAGTTCAAACTCTCCAGCCCTGGCAACATCCTTTTAAAGTTTTTCTGAATCCTTTCAAGTTTCACAACATCCTTCCTATAGCAGGAAGACCAGAACTGCATGCAGTATTCCAAAAATGGCCTAACCAATGTCATGCACAGCCGCAATATGACCTCCCAACTCCTATACTCAATGCACTGACCAATAAAGGCAAGCATATCAAATGCCTTCTTCACTATCCTATCTACATGTGGTATCCACTTTCAAGGAACTATGAAACTGCAATCCAAGGTCTCTTTGTTCAGCAACACTTCCCAGGACCTTATCATTAAGTGTGTCAGTCCTGCCCTGATTTACCTTTACAAAATGCAGTATCTCACATTTATCTAAATTAAACTCCATCTGCCACTCCTTGGCCCATTGTTCTGATCAAGATCCCGTTGTACTCTGAGGTAACCTTCTTCGCTGTCCACTACACCTCAAATTTTGGTGTCATGTGCAAACTTACCATCCATACCTCCAAAGTTCACATCCAAATCATTTATATAAATGACAAAAAGCAACAGACCCAGCACCAATCCTTGTGGCACACTGCTGGTCACAGGTCCCCAGTCTGAAAAGCAACCCTCTATAGATCTAAATAGTGGCACCATGTAAGCCAACCTCCAGTCTTCTGGCACCTCACCTGTGGCTATCGATGATATAAATATCTCAGCCAGGGACTCAGCAATCACTTCCCTCACTTCCCACAGAGTTCTAGGGTACACCTGATCAGGTCCCAGGGATTTATCCACCTTTAAGACATCCGGCACTTCCTCCTTTGTAGTATAGACATTTCTCAAGATGTTGCTATTTATTTGCCCATGTTCTCTATCTTCCATATTCTTCTCCAAAGTAAACACTGATGCTAAATGCTCATTTAGTATCTCTCCCATCTCCTGCAGTTCCACACATAGGTGGCTCTGCTGATCTTCAAGGGGCCCTATTCTCTCCCTAGTTACCCTTTTGTCCTTAATGTATTTGTAGAATCACTTTGGATTCTCCTTAGCCCTATTTGCCAAAGCTCTCTCATGTCCCCTTTTTGCCCTCCTGATTTCACTCTTAAGTATACTCATACTGCCCTTATACTCTTCTAGGGATTCACTCAATCTCTGCTGTCTATACCCATCATATGCTTCCTTCTTATTCTTGACCAAAACCTCAATTTCTCTAGGCATCCAGCATTCCCTACACCTACCCATCTTGCCCTTCACCCTAACAGGAACATTCTGCCTCTAGATTCTTATCATCTCATTTTTGAAAACTTCCCATTTTCCAGCCGTCCCTTTTCCTGGGAACATCCGCCCCCAATCAACTTTTGGAAGTTCTTGCCTAATACTATCAAAATTGGCCTTCCTCTAATTTAGAACTTTAACTTTTAGATCCGGTCTGTTCTTTTCCATCACTATTTTAAAACTAATAGAATTATGGTCACTGGCCTCAAAGTGCTCCCCACTGATACCTCAACCACTTGCCCTGCTTTATTTCTCAAGAGTAGGTCAACTTTTGCACCTTCTCTAGTAGGTACATCCACATACTGAATCAGAAAATTTTCTTGTACATTTTCAGAAATTTCTTGATTTCAGGTTTGAACATACTCAATGAATCCACAGCACGCTGGTGTGGAGACATCCAAAGATTTAACAAGCTCTGAGTGAAGAAATTCCTTGTCATTATTGTCTTAAATGGCCGATCTTTTGATCTGGGACTATGTAAAGCCAGGAAGAACATGCTTTCTGCATCTACCTGCTGAGTCATGTCAGAATTTTGTACGTTTCAATGAGATCACCTCTCATTCTTCTAAATTCGAGAGAATATAGACCCAGGTTCCTCAATCTTTCCTCTAAAGATAATCCCACCATCCAGAAATCAATGCAATGAACTTCTGTTAAACATTCCCAATGCCAAATATATCCTTGCTTTGGGAAGGAAATGAAAATTGCACGTTGCACTCCATGTCCTTCCCATTCACTTAGCGTATCTAAATTCTGTTGAAGCCTCTTTGCAACCTTCTCACAACTTGCATTTCCACTTGATTTTGAAACATGAGCAAACTTGGAAATATTTCACTTAATCCCCACATCATTTTTTAAAATGTTCCTCATTTTGACCTTATTTGATGCTGATCTTTGCTTCCACTGCTTTCCAACATTGCTCACTTTTCCTATCATTACAAGCTTTGAGTTTCTATTTGAATTCCCTCTCAGATTCCAACCTTTCCTCCCCACCCTCAACACGCTGCCAAGCGAATTTAGACCTTCCCCAGCAGCACTAGCAAATATCCCTGTGATGATATTACTCCTATGATGGTGTATTGTAACCAGTCCTCCTTGTAGAGAACCAGTCCCAATGCCTCAGAAATCTGATGCCCTCCCTCCTGCACCATCTGTCCTGCCATGTATCCATTTGTTCCATCATCCTATTTCTCTATTCACTCATATGTGAAGTGTAAACCTGAAATTACTGCCTGTGATTCCCTCCTTTGCAACTCTATCTGTGCGTTCAAGACTACTTGGTGTCAATGTGGATAACTGACTTCAGGCTGTTTACCCTCCCACATAAGAATGTCCTAAGCTGCTTGGTGGCATTGTCACCTAAAGCACCAAGGAGACAACAAACCATCCTGTTCCTCCAGCTATTGAATCTCCTCCCACTATTGCTCTCCGACTCTTCTTCCTCCTCACTTGCGCAGCTGAGCCAGCCATGGTGCCAGAGACTTGGCTGTGACAACACTCCTCTGCTATGGTATCCAGAATGGAAAAGCAGTTAATGAGTGAGATGCAATCAGGGAACTCCTGCACTGGGCCTTCTTGAATGTCTCACAGGAATCCATTCCAATGGATTGTACTCACTTAACCTGCAGTGTGTCCATCTCCCTAAGTATGCTAGCTATGTAGTTCTCAGTCTTGCAGATGCACCTCAATAGCTCCAGCCATTGCTCCAGTTCCAAAACCTGGAGCTCTAGCTTCTGCAGCTGCTGATGCTTCCACCTACAGAAGTAATGGTACTTCTGACTCAAGGTAACTGAGCAAAATGTGCCTCTTAGTTTTTTAGATCATAGAATCCCTACAGTGTGGTAACAGGCCTTTCAGCCCAACAAGTCCACACTGACTCTTGCAGCATCCCACCCAGACCCATCCCCCTAATGTACACATCTCTGAACACTACGGGCAATTTAGCATGGCCAATCCACCTAGCCTGCACATCTTTGGACTGTGGGAGGAAACCAGAGCACCCAGAGGAAACCCACGCAGACACGGGGAGAATGTGCAAACCCCATACAGACAGTCGCCCAAGAGTGTGATTGAATCCAAGTCCCTGGTGCTGTGAGGCTGCAGTGCTAACCACTGAGCCACTGTGGCGCCCATTTGATCAAGCCTTTACTCTCTTCCTAATATTTATTATTGATTCTGTACGAATCTTTCCTTATACGTCTGTGAAGCATCTTCAGATATTTTCTAATGCCGAAGATGTTACAGACGGGTCCCGAACCGAAACATCAGCTTTCCTGCTCCTCTGATGCTGCCTGGCCTGCTGTGTTCATCCAGCTCCACACTGTGTTATCTCTGATTCCAGCATCGGCGGTTCTTACTACCTCTGACAGAAGTGTAAGTTGTTATCAGAAGAAAATGAAATATGTATCTAACCCCAGTACTATTGCCAGTTGGAAATTCAACCCACTGTATCATCCAGAAGATATTTTTTAAAAATAATTTCTACTGTATCAGAATTTAATCTTTAAAATTGAAAGGAACAACGGCAGTCTTACCCTTGTGAAACGGTTTTAGTATGTAAATACCAAATAGAATAAGAAGTAACATAAGAATCAAGATAACAGGAGCCAGAAGGACGAGTGGATACTTGAGCTTATCAGCCATTTCTTCTCGTCTGAGATCTACAGCAGACATGTTGCTTCTCCTCTGTGCCCTCCTCACTGCTTTCTCAGTTCTAGATCGTCCAAAAACGGTTGATGGCTGGAGTGTTGTATTTGCCTCCTCTCCATTACTGTTGCCTGGGCAAACTGTGCTGGGGAACTGCAGGCTAGTGACAAACATGGTGGGAGGAAATATAAATCATAAAAAATAATGCTGCTTTTAAATTGAGTTCTGAAAATTTAAAAAGAATTCTTTAAAAACTGTCCTTTGTTAAAAGTTATTTTTTGGTCCTTTGAAGCTTGTTGATATTATTTCCTCTATCAAAATAGTTGAACCTTCAAATTACTTCAAGCAACTGAAATAGACCTGCAAGAAAGATGCAAAAAGGAATAATTAAAATGTACACGAAATGCTCTAATTTACAGTCAAAATCACATTGAGGGTACTAACATTCACTTTTATATCTATGCAAACATACAGCAAATCAGATTTTGGCAGATGTGAGGCTAATTACAGAAACCCAAAAGTCATTGTTTGAGATTTGTCATTCCACTGTTAGCTGAATCAATTAATGCTTTGAACAGCATGAGAATGATGTTTTGGCTTGGTAAATATGCACTAAAGCCACTACAAGCATTTGGGTATTGTCCAGTTCAGTCTATGTACCTTTTTAATGATGTATTAGTGCTAATTATGACCCAGCAACCTACCTGGTATTGAAAATTAGCTATTAGAAATGTAGGGCAGAGTGTAATGCCCTCTTTCCACATTTAATCAGGTCGGAAAGTGGTGGTGGTTGGGGTTGGGGCAAACCCCATCACTTTCCTGTATCCTTAATGAGCAAGTAATTCCACGGTGTGAAGACCCAAGGACAACCTCCTCACCGAGCAGCTGAATGAAGTCCTTAATTAGGCAATAAAGCACACTTCAGGCTGTCACCACACCGCCCAAATCTGATCCCAACAACATGTGGGCACCCACTATGCAGAGTTGTTTGCAGAAGCTCTGGGAGTGTTTGTCATTTAAAGGCCCCACTGTCCGATCAAGGGATCCAGGCTCAGCAAGGGAGAACCCAACGAGAGCCACAGCTCTGCCTTCGTTGTTGATTCCCTTCCACCCACAGCAGCCCAGCCCACAATCCCATCCTGGGATGCTGTGATAGAACGATGCCATGATTGTCCAGCAGCTTTCAGCAGGTGGGACTTCTGTGCCCGGCTTTCTTGATTTCAGGGAAGACTCACTGCTATCTGGTGACATCTAATAAATCCCTCAGAGAGGTGATGGCTCCCTGGGTAGCAAGTTAGACTGCCATCACCTCCATTAAATACCATCCATGCCATCTCATTCTTTTAAATGTAAACATTGGAGATTTGAAAAATGCACAACTTTAAATGTCAACTTTGTTTTTACTTTTCATTCTGTCCTTTTCTTGTTCTGTTTGTATTCAATTTTTCTTTTGCTTTGTATTTTCCATCGTGTACCTGAATTGGCATGAATTCAATCACACTAATTTATACTTCCTTCACACTCCTTGTTCCAATTTCACTATTCTTAAGTCTGATTGGTTAAGGAAATATATAGTTCAATCCACTATATCATAGTTGGTCATCCTATTTATTCAAGTCCCAGATTCCTGGATTCCCTCACACTTCCCGCATCTTGAGAGTAAGTTGCAAATAAATTGCAATTTTTAGGATGCAAAACATTTACAACCTAAATGAGCAAATCCAACTAATGATAGACACTTTTAAGGTCATTGTTACAACAAACCTGGCGCATTACTGCATCTTAAGAAGTGTCAATCATCCAGTAACTCCAATGTCTTTTGATATAAATCGGCTTTTATCTGTGTTACACAAAAGAGTATTAAAATAGTTTTACCTGAGGTGTGGAAAGAGTTTTCTTTTAAGAGGTATAATGAACTTTCTTTTAATGTAATAATGAATAGAACAAAGCAGCCAAAAATAGATGAACCAACTGAACTAATTTAATGCCAGCTGTAAAGTGGAATCGTAGAATGATCATGGATATTTTTTCCATCCAAAATGTTAAATAAATGCAGAATGTTTTACAATCTACTTAACCTCAAACTACAACAGTCCAATTAATATTTTCTCCAATCTTTTCATGCTTCCAATGCTCGGAGAAAAAGCTCTACGTAGAATGTGTAAACCCCACTTATGTTGTAAAATCCATGATATTTGGATTCTTTGCTGAGTAAGTGGTAGCTGTTACAGAGATGTGGCTTCAGGATAGCATCGATTGGGACCTGAAATTTAAAGACTATAGGGCATTTAGGAATTACGGGAAACTAGAAAAAGGTGGAGGACTGGCTCTGTTAAATTATGATGTTAATAGCAGAGTAGAGAGGGATGCCCTAAGTTCAGGAAACCAAGATGTAGAAACAGTTTGGGTCGAGATGAGAATTGATAAAGGCAACAAGTCACATGAAGGAATGGTGTCTAGGCTCCCTGACAGTAACCATACTGGACAGTAAACTATAAAGGAAGAAATGATGACAGCTTGTTAGAAAGAAGTGATAATAATCATGAGAGATTTTAACCTACATATTGATTGAAAAAATCAGGTGGGCAGAGGTTGACAGGCTGCCAGGTTTCATCCAGAGGTCTCACAACATGTAGCAGCCCATTTCAATATGGACAAAATGCTATGATGTTGGAAAGTCGTCCTTCATTGGGCTACATTTCCTAATATTGGCATTATCATCTGGCAGCAAGAAATATGAGGCACCTCTCCTGATGCCTCCCTCACACCAAACTTGCAGCAAAATGACATTATTTTTAAAAACAGATTGAAAACAAATATTTCACACTGAATGCTAAATGAAAGGCATCAGTATAGTATTTGTACAGGTAAATACATGATTTGACATGACTTTAATTAAAAATGTACTGCTATGGCACTTCAAAAACTTCCCTCAAAATGGATGGAATTTTGTACAGGTGACTGGGACCTTGCCTGCTGACTGGCAAGGCAGCAAAGCCAATGAGAGTCCCATGCTACCTCCTTTGAGGAAGGTCTGCTATATTAACTTGCAGCAGACATTTACATGGTGTCTGGCAGGGATTTCCCAGAATCAAGCTCCCCAGGGGCAGAAATTGCCAGTTGGAGGCTGGCAGCTCCTCGTTGCCATCAATACCAGTTGGAGAAGTTGTGGTAGCTGCCAGTAATGAACCCACCATAGGCCTATGATCAGCAAGGGAATCAGACCAGAGGTGAGTGGGTTTCATGAGGGTTTTGCTGGCTGAGATGCGGAATGGGACTGGTGGGAGGAAAGGGCAGGTCCCTCCATTTCCCATGCCAGATTCCTCAATTAGGCACTGAATGCCATTGAGCAATATAAATATGTGATATATTCTGATATTCTTGCAACAATGTCCTGTCACATTACACAATCAATCTAACAACATGTTTTCACGATATCAGTAAAGGTTTTTTGGGGTTGGTTTGCACTTAAGAAATAAAACATTGAAGAATATAATCCTTCAAACTGGTTAAAAAATATTTTTGAGTGCAATAAAAAACATTACAAAAGCTTATAGTCAGTTGGCTGACGCTTCCCACATTTTATGTGCCATCGTTATCACTACATAGAGGAAATTGTCCTCTGTATCTCTAATCTTAGTTGTTCCCACCCACCTCCCCCCCCAACCAGCTTTCTTGTTAAGAATGTCTAATTAGATGCGTTTACTTTTCAGTCAGCTTCTTTAACGTCCTCAATTTAGCTGATGTGTACATCTTTTTTGGCTTGTGATTTTCCTGAAATTTTACCTTTGAGTTGAAACAACCCCAATTCTGATATTTCTTTCACATTGCAGTTCCCAACTGCCAAAACAATCTTAAATTGGACTCAGGGCGTTTCAGGTAAGCAATGTTTCCTGTCCATGCCAATCTTTTGCTGTTTTGGATAAACAAAGCAATTAGATTAATTGCAGAATATAAACACAGAGATTCCTCAATTTCCCACATCAGTCAGTTTTATGATTTTAACTATGTTGCTTCTGACTCCAATTTTAGTCAGCTACAATTATTATAATTGTCACAACTCTCTTTCAAATTGTCTCAATCCAGCTCTTTGGTCTGAAGAAAGTTTGATTGTTATTCAGCTGTTTATCCCTTACTGCGCAGGCGTTTTACCATTCCTCAGATCATCCCTTGTAAGACTACAAAAATTAGGCTGATAATGCAAACTAATAACAAGACATCAAACGTTACAATGTTATAACAAGAAAAAAGAAAAACAAAATAGTCACGGATTTGCAGTGTAACACTTTTCAGTTAATTTGAATCGGTTCTGCTCTCAATTGTACTGGAAATATATTATTTATAAGCAAAACAAAAGATTGCTCAAAATGCAACAAATACAGTGTTAAAAACCTACATTTTCTGACAGAGAATGCCCCAGACTCCATTAAAACCAAATCATGTGCGTGAAATGCGTCCACATCAGGAATTGCCAGCTCAACTCTGCCAATATTTGTTTCTGATCCACTATGTTCATTAGCAGAAAGAACAATATCTGCATGGCACTGAACTGGGAGAATTTTATTTTGTAATCAACTGTAAATTTGTTTAACCGTTTCGGATGCAATGTCACCAACAGGATCAACTGGTAAAATAGCGTGGGCAATATTCTTTAATAACAGAAAATATTTTCATTCCTTACTACTGGATGTTTTTAAAATCCCACATCTTCCCACAAAATTTATTTGCAAAGAGTGATGAAAACTTCCCATCAGCCTGCTTGCCGTGCTAAAACAGAAACTGTTTTGTTTTGCATCTCTGATGATATGTCCACTTGCATTCTTGCACTGCAACAAGGTGTTTCAATCTTAGACGTTCCAAACCCTCAAGTGTCCAAGTGGACAGGAGACCATGTCTCTGCAGTAGGAGGTTCAATTGGAGAGAATTCCTCCTATTTAGGGTCGATTGTCTCCCGGTGTAATGACAGTTCCAGAGACTCGGTATAATGCACGCAGGCTGAAATCTGATCAAAAGCAAACGTCCATACTCACCGCTGGTTTTAAATGAGAGTCTGAGAGCAGAAGCGGAGAAGAAGCCGAGCTCCTCTACCATCTGGTCCTTTCCCCAATCGATCGGGGAAAGGACTGGAGCCAGACCCCAGGGGCTGAGCTTCTGTCAGTCCGCCCCCAGGGTCTGGGAGGAGTTCTGACCAGCTCAAAGCGGTAACCGTGCAAACCTTGAAGGCAGTTCCAAATCAGAGTGAGTCTTCCGCTCTGGTCCCTCGGCAGTCCATGAGACCGTAACTAAATGTAAATATAATGATTGCAACTCCCTTCTTTCCGGTACGTACACGCCAGTTTCTCCAAAAGATTGGCCTACTATATTCACTTGGCATGGGGGTACCGAGCGTGGAATAAACTGCGAACATCCATGAGCTTCCAATCAGTTTCACCGAAATTGGAATATTGGCCGAGAAGGTGGTGGATGAGAGGGAGATGGGTGGCAGGTTTAAAAGGAACATGAAGGGCAACTTTTTCATGCAGAGAAGTGTTGGTATGTGAAATGAACTGCCAGAGGAAGAGGTAGATGCAGATTCACTTACAACTTATAAAAGACATTTGGACAAGCACATTAATAGGAAAGGTTTAGAGGGATATGAGCCAAACACAGGCAAGTGGGACCAGTTTAGTTTGGGAAACTTGGTCGGCATGGATGCATTGGACTGAAGGGTCTCTTTCCTTGCTGTATGACTCTGTGACTGTATGACACTATGTGTAGAACTCTTGAGTTCCACAGAGTCTTCAAGTAGCTGGTCACAGATGGTCATACCTATGTTGTTGAGTCAATAGCTGGACCACAGCCTCAGCAAATGGATCACAGGACTTGGGGGGGTGGGGAGGTGGGTGTTGCTGCTTGAAGTTGCGAGTCTGGTGGATAATGTGGAATCAAGCAGCTCTCTCAGAGATGCCCAGAAACCTGATGTGTCAGTGCACTGGCTCGAGTGAAGTGGAGTTGGATAACGGTGAGGAAACCAGGAGTGATCTGTGTGTTGTGAATCCACAAGGTGCATCTAGAGTGGGGAGGTCTACTCCTGCTCTGCAAAGTGGCTCACAGAGGGCCTTCCGGGAAGCCAAAACTGAAGCAACAATCACTGCTATTCAGACGACCGGAGACCTAACTGGTCTAAACCCTTACATGGGTGATCTGCCACAGAGCCTGGATCCTTTGGAAGATATGAGTACAGATGAGAGGCTAAGAAGGTGTTCTTGAGCTAATGTTGGATATCACTCCAACACCTACCATTTATCCAAATTGATGATGAAGAAGAAGAGAATACTGTCATTAATGTGAGCACAAACATTCTAGCCAATATGGCAGAACTGAACCTGCTGATCATGCAACTGCTTAGCAAACAGTCACAGTGCTATGTGTAGTTGCCAGAGTGGCAAGTTTCAAACAGGGAAAATTCAAATGGTACATCTAGCTGTGGGCTAGATGGTGATGAAGGGCACCAGGTAGGGCAGCTGATGCAGGAGAATGAGCGCCTTGAGGAAGGTTGTCCTGAGCGAAAGGAGATCTCATAGGGAGAAGACTCAGACAGACAAAGGATTTCGTCAACCACATGTAAACCACTTGCTTAACTCTGTGTAAATACCATGACTTCCTTGTTTAACCTTACTTTCCCTTTATAGTTGTAGTGACCTTATGCAAGTGAAGTGAAGAAACCCTGCTTCATGATTTTTGAGCTGGCTGTGTGTTCAGATCTCATGTTACAACAGTAAACATGCTTGTATTTGAGAAAGATTCTACACTAACTGCATGCACAGAACAAAACAATCTATGATCTGCTTTTCCATCAAAACATTTCATATGTCAATTTACAAAATTTTATTTCTGTGAATACCTCTGTTTTCAGAACTTTTGCTTCTCTCTGCTAAATTATATCTCAAGCAATGATATTTACCAAGGATTTTCATACTGTTGTCATTTAATTTCCACATAGAATTATGGCAAGTAACATTTTCTTGGCAACAACTGTGCTTGAAAATTTTTTAAATTTGCCATAAGAAAAATCATCTCCTAAAATTTGTGGGGTTTTTTGCACATGGAGAAAAAGAAAATAAGCCAGCTTTAAGGAGCATGGATTTCAGCAGATACCTCTCCCCTTTGGAACACATAAATACTGGAGAGAGAGTTTACTGGGTGAATTAGGGAGCATTTCAGCAAGAAGAAATTAAGGCAGCCATAAGCTCTGCTATGCACTGCAGGAGGATCTGCTGCCATTGAAAGCTACATAATGTCTTCATTCTTTAAATTCAAGTCACTATGACCTGTTGTTGTTAGAAATTATGCTCTGGGAATATGTCCAACTGGAGTTGTCAGTCCTTTATCTGGTACCTGATTGATAAATAGGTGAGATGTTCTTTGATTGGTCGGTGTTATGTCTTTTATTAATACCTGGCACTCAGCAGCATAGATGTTGAGTGCACTGATTACTGTTACTTCCAATGAGAATATCACATAGCTGCCATCTGTGGCTGAAGATCTGGCTCAAGGTACTTACAGTAGTCTGCAATCATTTCCTTGTTAAGAATTGCTTACTTTTATATTGTTCCTTACCAAGCTCCAAAAAGGTGACTTATGTTTTTACATTGTATCAGGTAGTATTTTCTAAAAGATATTGCCTTAAACATCTCAAAATATCCCAGCCATGAACTTCTGTTGTTGCGTTTGGAAATATATAGTTCAGGCAGACTTTGATGGAAAGTCCAAATAAGGTAGTATAAAATCAAAGCTAGGCCAATCCACCTACAAATCCAATAACGTCAGAGATGTTATTACACACTCCCATAGCGCAGTCTCCACGCTCAAACGTAGGGACGTTACTACTACACCACAACAGCCCTCCAATCTTGTGCTTTTATGTCACCTTTAAAAAGGAAGAAATTAACACAAAACCTGGGAGTGAATTAAGTAATGCACATTTTCTCATTCCATCTTAATTGCCACTTAACAAGCAAGTTAAGAGCATTGAGTTAAACGCATTAGCAATAATGATCAGAGTGATGACTGCAGTTGAATGAGGTCCAGTCATATATTTCTAAGCTAGATGATTACATGTTGAAAGCTACCATTGTTCTAATCAAATATCATAATCTAACTTTAGTTGTGTTTTTAAACAATCTATTTTAATCATCTACAGCAAAAAGGCCCTATAATGAATTACAGTCAACACTACAATCAGTCAGCAAAATAGACAGTCAATGATGTGGGAGAACTGCAGGGACAACTATCATCTCTCATCTCATTGCATCCTCAGATGCTAACACTATTTAGCTTTATGTTTCTTTCAAAAGTTTTTTATGCTTTTGCCACAAAAACATTTGTAAAACACAGGCATTAAAGAAACTCATCTAAGGCTTGTGGGCTGGAGATAATTGTAGAGAATGAAGAGAGTAAGGCCACAGAAGCAGTTCATAATGTGGATAACATTTTTAAATTTGAGGTGTTGCTTAAATGGGAAGCTCTGTATATTAGGGGAGGACAAGGGTGATGGGTGATTGGGATTTAGTGCAAGTAAGGATCTGGGCAGCAGACCTTTGGATGACCTCAAGTCAATGTAGAATGTGGAAGAATCAAAAACATAAATTGCTGGAGTTCTGAAGAAGTGTTGCCAGACTCAAAATGTTAACGCCTGTATATCCACAGATGCTGCCAGATATACTGAGTTTCTCCAGCAATCTGTTTTTGTTTCCTCCAAATCTCCAGCATCCACAGTTTTGTTTTATTTTAAGTGAAAGGCTGGTCAGGAATATTTTGCAATAGTCCAGCCTAGATGTCACAAATAAAAAGGATTTTATCAGCACGAGAACTAAGGTAGAGATGAAGTTGGACAATGTTATAGAGGTGGAAAAGGATGGTGTTAAGTGATGACATATTTGAAAGCTCATCCCAGGGTGAAATGTCTCACAAGGTGGTGAACAATCTGATTCAGCATCAAAAGAGTTGCCAGAAACAATTTAAGTCAGTAGCCAGTGTCAGGAAGGTGAGGTCAAAACTCTAATAATTAAATTTGAAACACAAGCCCCCAATCTGTTACAGCAGAAGTAGAGGTCCCCTTCTAATAATTAAACCTGAAGCACCCAGAGAAGCTCACCTCACGTAAGCTGTTAAAAAGTGGTTAAATGAAAGCAAATCCTGATATTCACTTCATAAGTAACAAGTAACAACTTATTTATTTAACCCTGACAGTGAACAACTTAACAGAACTGCTAACAAATCAAACAATTCTCCCTTAACTACTAGCTATTCACTAACTGAACAAAATTCTACTAGTATGCTGTTCCAATAAACAAAAGTCCCACATATATAAACCCAAATAGTAAGAAAACTAAATTAAAAATTAGACTCTCAAGGGTACAACCAGGTTAAGTCTTCCAAAATGTTCTTTGCCTTCTCTACTGATCCTTCTGTCAGGAATGCTTTCTCTGTGAATTCTTCTGTCCTTAGCTAGGAGTGCTATGGTACCTTTATGAATAGATGGTGATTTCTGTGAGAGCCAGATATTTACACTTCAGATGGCAGTTCACTCTCACACCAATTTTCAAAACCCTCTTGTTATACACTCCCCAATGACTTGTCAATTTTCTTATAATGGATTGGTGCGAGGTTGTCAAAACCATCAGATTTAAATTCAGTTGGTTTTCAGTCACTAAGTGCTTGGTTTAAATTGATTGGCTGATTTTCACGCTAGTTGCCAAAACATCAAAACAAGCCTAAGGTTTCCAATCACACATCCATCTGATACATGTTTCAATTTCAGAACTGGCTGTACATCTTCAGCTGCTTACAGACATATTTTCGTTTAAATCGCCACACTTAGAAAAGCACATAATCTCTTAAAGGGACTACGTCCTCTTCCCCCCTATCATTTTTTGCGAATAAATTCTAACTTAATGCCTTCCAATTCACAAGTACTGTACACAACTTTGCAACACCAGAGAGTGAAGTTTGAGGTGTAGACCAAATAGGTTGACTCTAATGTCATTAATATTAATTGGAAGTCATTTCCATGTAGAATACAACACTAATGCCACTCTGATGTTACAGAGACAATGGAGAGAGCAAGAGAGATGGTGGTGACATAGAGCTGGGCATCAATCTCCATATGAAAACTTATACTATGAGCTGAATCTTTCGCATCTTTGGCTGTGTCAGTTTTGTT